CATTAACATTATGCGAACAAACCCCACACATTTTAAAAAATGTGCCATAATTGATAGGGCAGCTGATATTTATTTACTGTGCATTAGGCCTATGTTCTGTAGCGGTTTATTTAAGTGTATTTGAAATGGTGCAGCTTGTTGGATGCAATATTTATTTATTTATTTAAAGTGATGTGCTCCATAAACACTGGATATAAAAATCTGATCGTTCAAAAGCCTTAAAAACGACCAGACTTTGAGTCTTCGCTCCCAGCCTGTCGCCCACCTTTAGATATTTCACAACAGCAGTTACGGTGGCGGTACGTGTACCTGTACCTACATGTACCTGTTCCTGCATACATGACTTTGGCTTTGAGAGCTGATTTTAAGATTACATCAAATAGCTGTAACATAGAAGGCCTTCTGTTAAGACTACAAAAGTTTCAAACCCTGCCAGCAATTTCAAAATGTCACAAACTCTGAGTTCAAGATTTCCTCATAGTTCAGTTTCTTTTCTGTTCTCTCGCTGAACTTCTCGTGATCACACGGTTTTCTTCGTGCTAATCGTCTTATAGTTTATTTTCGGCCTTAGTTCAGGTTCGATTGTATTTTCCTCCACGTCAGTCAGCCTTTRTCTCTCTGCAGAAGAAAGTTTGCACAACATCTCTGTTTTAAAAGCAATAAATGTTGCACTTGACCAGCATTCAAGTTAGATTTTGTAACTCTTATGCTCATATTGACACTCTTTTTGTGTTTTGGCTCTGAATTGTTTCTGTGACGCCAACAAACTTAATTTTCTGAAGTTGTTTTGTGTGGATTTCTTAGTCTTTAATAAAATCTGAAACTTACCCCTGTCTCTGCTTTCAGGTTCAAACCATTACCTGCTACACGAACCTGCCAAAGTCCTGTACCCCGCCATCGCCAGTAACGAGACTATTGAGTGCGACTGTCGGAACATCGCCTGTGACAACGTCTTCTGGTTCTACACGGATCCCAAGAATGTCAACGTACAGTTTGTGGGAAGATGCAACAACGCTGATCGTGTCACCCATGGTGATTCTGTGGACAAAAATCGTTTTATACTCAACAAGAGGGGCAGCTCGGCCTTTGTGCTGCGCATCATCGATGTGGGGGAAAACGATGCAGGGATTTATTCCTGTATCACAAAAGACTCCAGAACCAAGACAGAAATGTACAACCCTGGGACATGTCTGCGGCCAGGAGGTTAGTATGCTTACAAAGCAAGTCACACGGGGTTTTAAAATGAGCAAATTTATAGTAATCAATGAGAAATRTCTTAGTATGACCAAAGAATTTGAAGCGACAGACCAGTTAGTCTTGTACAGGACTTTGTGTACAGTAGAAACAAGATATCACACAATAAACAACACATGAAACTAAAGATTAGGTCAAATCTGGTCAAAATGACCTCAGCACGTTTTCAGATTCCTGCTTTTTAAGCTACATTTTAATACCTGGTTCTTCTTATATAACGAGCGATTCTGGAGAAACGCTTTTATTTGTCCTAATCACGATAACCCATTAATATTTGGTCCGAGTGCCATTTTTAGGTTAAAAATAAAGGCTTCAGAAAATTTATTTAAGATTATATTTCAGATATTTCACTTAAGCGACCTGTAGATGAAGTATTGGATCATTATATTTTGACAAAATTACCGCCAGCGTTTTAAACAATGCTGCCTGTTTCTCCACACACAACTTTGACTTGATCCTCAGTTCGATGTGACGGGTCACATAATATTTGACACCAGCACATGTCAGTGAAGAGTTAATATTAGGCACATCAAGTGAGCTTAGACTCGAGTCCACCCATCTACTGAAAAAATTCACTGGACACTACACCATTTAGTGATCTCTAAAACTAAAATATCTTGATTTCGAAAACGTCCTGTTAGCTGAGCCTTCAAACAGCGCACTGACAGAAGCTGTGGAGACTGGAGTCCTTTCGATATTTAGCACAAAATATGAGGAGATTTGTGTTTGGAAGATTGTTTCTTTGTAACAACGCTTCTTGGCAATAAATCTTATAGCGGGCACCTGACTGGCAGCACCTGGAGGAACCAGAAGCTCAAAACAAGAGTCAACAGCAAAATAAGCTGTTTGGCAGAGAAGATTTGGCAATTTTTTTTCATTTGTGCAACCCACATACTGAGCTCTACTGCTCATCCTACAAATGCATGTTCCTTACAAATGTGGCACCATTTAAAAGGGAAATCAACAGACTTTCGAACGGTTTCAGATTTATTACCAAGAAGCATTGTTACAACAAAGAAATAATCTACCAAACACTAATTTCCTTACTTTTTGTGTTGAGTATTGTGACTTTTTGGTGTCTCCGTATGAATGACAACAGATTGGCACAGAATTACCTAAATATTATTATTGATATATTCAGGCACTGTGCTTTAGCAAGACTAATATAAGCAGAAAGTTGCCCCGCTGGTCAAACTGACGAGTCGCATGTGGCAACAAAACAACAACCAGTCCAAAAGATTCTGGTCAGGATCGCCGATCTTAAGTGTTTTAAATGACTCATCTAGGTTCAATATTTAATTTAATTTTTAACATTACAGCATGCATACATCCAACAGAGGCTTCCAGTCTTTATTATTATTATTATTATTATTATTATTTTGTGTTCAACGTAGGCTTCTTCAGTGTTGGACAAAAATGTCATAAGTTGTCTAAAACGTTACAGTGTGACTGTTAAATAAAAATGTAAAAAATAAATAAAACAATAAAAATGAGATGTTGAAATCCCTCACGACTCTTTGTTCTCTTCCTGATAGAGACCCCTCCAACACCGTCTCCCACCGAGAAGAGTCCCAAACCAAGGTCCTGCCCCTGTTCCTCGAACAATCTCCCTCAGGGTACGTGATGAAGAGCTTTCTTTTTATCTACACACGTACGCAACCAGAGGGAGCGTGAGGACAGGATGTAATGTTAGGTCAGGTTGTGTGGAGATGTGCGACATCGAAAAGGACTAAATGTTTTATGTGTTGGCTCCAGATGGCTGTCACTCCCTGGTTCTGTGGCCCCTGATCGGACTTGTTGGGGGCTTGGCTGCAGGTCTTCTCTGCGTGCTGTATTACTTCAGCCGTAAGTAGCCTTTCAGTCTGATTCAACAGCTGACAGTGAAAAAGGCTCTTTTCGCACTGATCAGTGGTTTTTATGCAGCCAAACAGCAGAAATTCAGCAACAGTCTGGAGTTGTAAATGTTTTAGTTTTATATTTCTTTGACCGGTTTTTATTTTTATCTACAGGGCTGCCAAAGAAATGTCACCACCACTTTGTGAAGTAAGTTCAACCCATAAAACATTTTTTTCCTGTGTGTTTAATATATATTCTTCCATTTCTAATCAGTAAAATGATAACATTTTAATATTATTGGTTTTTTTCACAATTTACCCAATTTTGTTTTTTACTTTTAAGGAAGAGGCTGACCTAGAGGAACGCACCTGCAGCTTTTCTTTAACTCAGGGTAAGGATCTTAAAGATTTATTTTTTTATGTACGATCATTTAAAGTGACTTAAACCTGACAAAGCTGCTCCTCTGACTGCAGACRCTGATTCGCTGAAGCCTTTTTATCCTGCGGAGCTCCAACATGAATCGCCCTGAAGACGTGAAGCTCCTCTGCAATGACGTATCTGCAGCTGTGTAAAATACTGTCATATAATGACAAACTTATCTTGAATATTTTTAAAAGGATGACGTTTGTGTTTAAAACTCTGTTTTCAACTTTTATACCTGATAAAAAGGTAAATGATGTCATCGTTTATTAAGGTGCTTTGTTCATTTCATTCCCTTCAGATTATTGTTGGATTATGAAAGAAACATCTTGTTTGTGCCTCTTACACAAGAATCAGTTTGTTAGCTTTGTGCCTGAATAAAATCTAAATGTCAGTTTTATTTATACAACATAAAAACAACTGAGCTTGACTAACTTTACAGTCAAACCAGACAATAATACAACAAAAAACAATCCCCCCCCCCAAAAAAAAAACCCAAAAAATAACATGTAATAAAACATGTAACTTGTGATAAAAGACAGCTAACTTAGATCTTATCTGCTAAAATCTTCTACTCTGTTTAAACCAAAGGTCCATATAAAACAATGAGACATCAGCAGGGATTTAAAGATCTCTGGAGTTTGAGTTGTGTTTATGGAAAAGTTCATCATTTCACAAGTTCGCACTGGGACATAAAGACAAACTGTCTGCTTGATCGGAGCGTCCGTCTGTTTATTTGCAGGCAAAAATCTCATCTCACCAACTTTCAGAAATACTTGTTTTCTACAATGTTTCCTTCCTTTTGTATTTGTCTTGGAGTTATGGTATGTGTTGTGTTAACATGAGCACCTTGGAGAAAAAATGTTCTTGTTTTGTTGTTGGTTTTTTTTAATGTAATGATGTTTAATCAATAAAGCTCTGTGGTGAAAAGTATACAAACCAGTCTTCTGCTCAGAAACCTTGACATGATGAGATGTTGGAGCTCTTATACAAGACTTAACTACATGAGAAGTACAGCATAGAGGGCAAATGTGTGTGTGTGTGTGTGTGTGTGTGTGTGTGTGTGTGTGTGTGTGTGGTCGTTCTTGTTTCGAAGACTTGAGCAGTGGATGAAAAGATGACATGTTTTGATTGAGTGTGAGGGCGAATGTGTGTGTGTGTGTGTGTGTGTGTGTGTGTGTGTGTGTGTGTGTGTGTGT